ACACAGAGCTGGGTGCTGGGCTGGCTGCGAGGTTCGTCTAGGATAATTTGCCCCTCTAGAGCATGGCACAGCTAATGAGCACAGTCCCTCCAGTCATAGGAAGCACACACAGAGACTCATCAGAACAGATCGGGAACAGCCTCTGCTGACCGGACTCATGGAAAAGCTCTATTTTCTACATGGCAAATAGCAGGATGTTGCATATTTTTCATTATTAAATCTAAATCCATACAATTAGTGGTAAAAAAGAAAATAATATGTTTTTATTCATTAAGTCTAATGATAATACCCAAGGAAAATATTGATCCCTACCTTGACCTCTCTCTCTATAAAGTAAGAATTGTTATTGTTTCACCGGTTACTCAGTGCTTTGCATGTGCTGGAGATGGCAGTACATCTTGCATGAACATCAGCTCCCCTGTCCTGTTCCCTTCTTTCCACCAAGACTTACCTCTGTCTTTTTGCCTTCTCGTGGGTGATAAGGAGTGCATCTGCTCAATGGCTAGAAAGGACAAAATACCTTTTTGTGACACCAGAAAGAAAAAGATCCAGGGAGTTATGGACCACTAAGCCTTCCATTTGTACCTGGTAAACTGGTTCAAATGATAAGGAATTAAAAAAAAAAGAAAACATTTGGAAGATGCTGATAAGATCAGGTTTATCCAGTAGAAAGGTACTGTAGGATATGGCTGGAAGTGATAGGAAAAGCCTGCGCTTGGTGACCCAGCAGGTCACTTACAGTCTTTCACTCTTAATCTCTTAGAAGTCTTTGAACTTGTCAATAAGAAACGAAGAGAGAGGAACTGGCTTATCTCATTTATTTACGATATTGAAAGGTCTTTAGCAAGGCCTCTCGTAGAAAGCAGTCAAAAAGACAAGGTAGGCGGGTGAAAGGGAAAAGTATAGTCATGAATCAAAACCTGAAGCGAAGATTAGGTATAAATGGGTTGTTTTCACCATTGCAGAGCGTTAAACAATACAAAAACATATAGGACTTGGGAATGTACAAGGTTTTTTTATATCAAGTCTCTGATCTGGGATGGAGAAGAGGTGGAAGGGTCGCCAGGTTTGTGGGCAGCAAAAAGCCAGAGGTCAGTCAAGTCTGGGGAAGGCAGTGAGGAAGATCAGAAAAACCTAAACAAGCCAATAAATACAGGACACAACATCCAAAAACCTGTTCAGTGTTAGCGTTTGGCTTTTGCCCACCCTGTGGTTTCTCCTTAATTTTGTTATGATCGAACCAGAAATGAAACAGTCTTTAGTTCTGCAGTCCATGTAGGAGAAGATCTTGTTGGGGCTGCTAGTGGGAGAAGAGATGACCTCTCCCTGATAACCTCCCCAGGAGGGTCTGCGTTTCAAGAAAAACTGTACCAGTGACTTCAGACTCTGATTAATAATCCTTTTTCAGAAGTACAGAAGGGTTAGATAAATGCATACATAGTATCTAAAAAACCAGCAATGGTACTCAGCATCAGAATAGTCCTGCTAGTGGAGGAACCCAAATTAATAGGCTTCATGTATCAGTATGAACAATTTCCCAAATTACTTCTGGGATTTGAGTTAGATTTCTCTCCCTCACTTTGGACATCTTGTTTCTTTTTAATAGCCATGTCTGCCTCTTTGTCCTAAACAGTAATTTTGAATAAGAGTTAAAAAAATACCGTTTGTTTTGCTTTGCCTGCTGGTCCGACTGTCACAGCTGAGTGTGTTCCCTGCACCACTGATTTAAGAGACCACCACACCTCAGAATTGATGGAGACTTCTGCCTTCCTCTCCATCACTGCTCCCTGCCTTTCCCCACTACCTTTTGAGCCAGAGAAGAGCTACTCGATGTCCCTTTCAAAGCCAGGGACCAAAGTCCAGAATGTTGCTAATTAACAGCAAGAGCCTTTTAAGGAATTGAAAGGTTGCATTGTTATGATTTGGGAAACAAAAGCTGAATAAGAACTGTAACACTTAACTATGGAATTCTACTTTATTTTTCTCTAATGCAGGCTAAGCTGCCTTACAGCAAGCTTTTAAATGTAATGATTGAGACTATTATAGGAAATACTATACAAAGCAACATTTTTTTTTGCAGCCTAAATAATAAGTAGGGCAAGGTTTTAAATGAGGCTAGAGTAATGAATGCTGTACAATAATTTTGATGATAAATTTCCCCGGAGGATAAAGTGGAAGAACAGAAGCAGGCTGTATTTAATCATGCAAAGTTAAAGGAATGCGGACCAACAAATATGTAAAGAGATGTACGTTTTTCCTAACCTTTTCTGAGATATTCTTGCCTCTTTTCACCTGAGAAACTTAGCAGAAGTTCAGGTCTTTTGGTGTGTAATAATTAGGAGGGGGAATTGATCACTTAGGGTCAAGTGCTTCTTTGATGTAGTGCACAGAAATGCCTGCTTCCTTGCAGGCTGGAGGACTCAAAACAATAAGACATTTGTTTTTCACAGCTATTTCATTCATCAGTGAGTCTGAAAAGCTTGCTTTGAGCAGATATACAGCATGTGATGACATATTCTGCAGCTGCTCTTCACCTACTATTGACCCAAGGAGATATGTCCCCACCACAGAGCAGAGCACTGTCCGGAAATCCTAACTTTGCTCCCAAAAGCCTTCTATGTGCAGAATAAGAAGAAGGTCTGTGCGTTGCATTGCAGAGATGAGATCCTGGCTTCCACGTGCTGAGCAGGTTCAAAATCTTGACCCTGTGCTCCATCACCAGGTGCAGACCTGCCCTTCCCATGCCTTTGCCAAAGGTGGTGCTCCTCAAAGGTGGTAAACCTCAAAGGTAGTCATCCTCAGCTGTGGTTTCTTCTGGTCTTTGTCTTGAGGAGGCAGCACTTTACTACTAAAAGTCACTGCTGACATCTGGCTTAGCTTGTTCCTGGTTGTTCTGCACAGATGCACAGGCTTGTGGTAGAATTAGGCAATAATTCTGTAAAGCATAGGGTCGGGTAGCTTCGTGTTGGGTTTTTTTTAAGTAGCTGTTAAAAGTAGGGTGTTTCAGTGGACTTAAGCTCAACCTTTAACAGTATTCACTTGGTGGAGGCAAAAACCTGAAGATTTCTGTTCTGATGATCAATACTTAAAGCATGTATTGATTTCCAGTTTAGGTGTTAACTTTTTAGCTCTTAGAAATGCTCTTGATATCAATTTTCACCTTGCCTGATGTTCATTATGTGCTGAAGATGATGAGAGCGAGCACGCTCAGGATCTCATCTGGCAAGATGATTAGTTCTACTGACTTGAGGACTGCAACGGGCAAAGATTTACTCGTCTTGTGTAAGCATCATGAAATATCTGTGTTTATGGCACTGACTTGAGAAACGCTTTTATTCTGGCCTGGCACAGGCTTCCTCTAGCGTTTCTTAGTCTGGGTAGTCCATCTCTGAAATGATATACTAAACTAATTAATAGCTCTGTTTATTACGTTCATGTTGTTTTTCTCATAATAATTCATAGAAAATGAGCCTGAGGTCCCCGGCGCGGGTTGCTGGATGGCTGGACTTTATTTAAGCAATAAGACATAGATGATAGGCAGTGCATTCCTATGTGATTATGCCTCCAGTAGTGTTAGGAGGCACAAGGTCAAAAGGCTCAGTGATTTTAACTACCTGAGAAGTGCCATGTAATCCCCTGCAAATGGGCTGTCTACAATGTCTTACTGCTGTATCAGAGAGGGAATTATTTCTTTTAAAAGGCAGGGACATGAATTAAGTCTGTAATTGGCACAGGTATGACATCACTGACTGCCAATCAGAAATCCTCTTTGTCTTGGATTTTAACACCTTAATTACAAGTTGGAGTCATCTGAACAAACTGTTTTTTATTAAAATAGTGTTTTATCCTCTTTGTGCTGAGTCCCATCTGCTTGCGTTAGCGAGGAAAGCACCATTTGTGCTTTGTGTGTGCCGTGAATCGCTCCGCAATAGCTTTTGTATCACCATCAGGAGCTAAACTGGGACTGCAAAGGCTTTGCAGAGCTGGTGATATCCAAGCCATGGCCGGACTTGTGGTGCCTAGAACATTATTTTAGACTCAGAAACTCAAGCAATCAAGGAAGCAAGGGGAGGGCAGGCAGCAGGGTGAGCACTTCAGGATGCAGGCAGCGTGGCTGGGATTTCAAAATCAATGTGTAGCCATCAAATTTGTTCAGCCTAGCACTGTCTTTTCCTTTTTATTGGCAAACATAACCCCAAAATAATAAAATCATCCCGATTTACAGTTGCTGTTGATAAAGTAAGTACACATCAGTTGCAGCTTTACTAGCCTGAGCAGATGAGGAGCCACGGGAAGGATGGTATTTGTCTTCGTAGTATTGAAGGCCCTTGGGCAGTCGTCAGCATTTTTGAAGGGGGGCATGAGAGACACCAGATAGATTTTTCCTTTTTTTCCTCCTCACTTTAAGCCCCAGCAGAAGGGAAGGTAAAGGCACAGCCCCTGCAAAGCTCTCTGCAGCCCCTTGGGGCTCGTTTCCCTGGCTTCAGCCAGCAGTCACTCCTTCTGCAGGGCAGAGAAAAGCCTGCACAAAGTCCAGTGGTCAGTCCCAGAGGATGCTTTTCCTTTGGGAAAATGGGCAGGGATGCCAGAGGTGATGGCTTGCCTGTGTCTCACCTCTTCTGGTGGATGGGATGTGAGTATCTGCACATGGGAAGGTGTGAAACACCGGTGGAGGGGACGCTGCAAAAGTTGCTGTTCAGTTGCAAAGGGTTTTGGGGGCAAATGATCCTGTTAGAGGGCAAAAATTTAACACATAGTTTTAAAGACTTAAAATAAATCTGTCTTCATAACCCGACTGCGGTGCTTTTTTCCTTAGATATGTTACAGGGGTAATGATACTTCTCCAGTGAACTCAATTAACCTTCTGCAGCCTTCCGTGTGACAGGGAATCCTAAATCTTCTTTTTTGTGAGTGCCTGTGCAAGATTTGAAGCTACTCTGAACTTAGCATTAATAAATGCCGTTTCCTAATTGGTGCCCATTTGTTTGTTTTCTTTACAGTGAGAAAGACATGGTGGCTGTGAGTGGGATCTAGCGTTCATGGTTGTAAAGAGCTTTCCACACAGGAGTGAGGTAATATTTTTCTAATTATTATTATTAATGCAAATCTGTTGCTTCTGTGGGTGCATTTGGGAGTTTCTGTTGCTTGGTGATGTTATAAGATGATCTTAAGGAACTTAGCTTTGTCTCTCGGTCGTGTTTTGTATAAATGGATGTTCATTGACAAGAAGAACTATGTGACTCTCTGTATTTTTCTAATTATTATTATTATTATTAATGCAAATCTGTTGCTTCTGTGGGTGCATTTGGGAGTTTCTGTTGCTTGGTGATGTTATAAGATGATCTTAAGGAACTTAGCTTTGTCTCTCGGTCGTGTTTTGTATAAATGGATGTTCATTGACAAGAAGAACTATGTGACTCTCTTCTGTCTGAGACCCGGTGCATTTTGAGTGCCCTTTGGAAGTGCTGCAGGAAAAAGGATAGGAGGAAAAACCTGTGTATTCAGGCTTTTGCATCTCGGTTAGTTTTCCTATAAATCTTCCTTCTGCTCTATGATACGTACTACTGGGTGCATATCACATCAGGAGACTCAGTAGTGTTTGCTCCTGCCTCACTTCTGAGGTCTTTGCATGAACACGTGCTGTTTGGAGCAAAATGTTCCGTCTGGGAGGGAGCCTGTCGGCGATAAATGAGAAAACAAGAGAAATGGATGGTCCCCCATAATGCATACCCCATAATATAATCATTGTTGTTTGATAAAAGAGACACTTCCAGCGACTCTCAGTGCCCTGCTAGGTATGTCTGGATTTATTATTCAAAAAGGCACAATCAAATCTCTTCATTCAGTTGACAAATGGGAGCTATTCAGTTCAGTATCTGCCTCTTATTTATAGCATATAGTGGGGTGATTTATATGCTAGCTGCAGATCTTCCAAAACAGTTTTAATTAGCGGCATTGGCTATTAGAATGAGAGTCCTGCAGCATCCCTGTCATACATATCCCCTTTAAAATGGAATAGAAATCTTGCTCTTTGCCAGGCAATGCTTCTCTGTTATTTTTTTTTTTGTAATGCTGGCAAGGAAATGTACCTGTGCTTTAGTAGCTCAGAGGATGCATTCATGTTTGAAGCTCCAAGGGGACAAGCAGGAGGAGGTTATTGCCGTGCCTTGAGGAAACAGGGCAATCCTTGGGGGCATTTGCACCGAGGAAGGTAATGCTATTTATTGCTGTGCCTTGAGGAAACAGGGCAATCCTTGGGGGCATTTGCACTAACATCACATGGGAGTTGCAAATGTCATAAGTGACTTGGGTTTTGGGAAGGGAGTAAGCGCCGAAGACGCCAAGGCCAGCTGCTCAGGCTGCCAGCACCTGCATCTCCAGACTCTGCTCTGGAGTTCTGTGCTTGGAGGAGGATGATGGATCTGAGAAGGCAGGAGCCCTCATCTCAGCGTGTCCTGCGGTTGGAGCGTTCACAACACTCTTCTTCTTGTGTGCATTGTCTGATGATATAAGTAAGCATTTCCCCAGCTGTTCCCTTATCCGCCGAGCAGCTCTGGCTTGTGGTCTAATTGGTACCCCTGAGGTACAGACCAGAGTAAGGCACGGCGCGGAGGTGAGTTCAGCAAAGGCACTAGTTTGAGTCTCTATTATTTTCACGCATCTAGTAGGAATGTAATCCCTTTGAGACCTCTGCCTATCTGTCAAACCTGAGATCAGCCAACAGGTTCAAAAGTTATTTGGGGAAGCGATGACTGACAGAACAATTGCATGTCTCTTTTTTTTTTTTTTCTGGGAAACCAGGCTAAAAAAGCTCAGGAAACGTAAAGAGTATTTTTTTTTTTTGGTGTTTTATGCTCTGTGTGTAGCATGCAGAATGGTCTGTTGTTACGTTTCCACTGATCTTTTTTTGACATGAGCAATGCAGTCATTCTGTCTTCGCATCAAACAAGCCTTTGTACTGCTTGTCACCACCGCGCAGTGTCTCTGTGTGTGTGTAAACTCCCTGTTTGCTACCTCCCCTCATCGAAACTCTGCTGCTGCCTGCAGGTGGGCGGCTCTGCTCAGTCCCTGGGTGTTCTACAGCAGCACCCTGTCAGTGACATTTACTCTGGAGAGCAAGAAAACCTTAGAAAATCTGAATTTTGAGATTGACAATGATATGAGAAGAGAGGACATGAGCACTGGACGCAGTCACAGATGCTTAATGTCTCTGCGGGTCCATCCCTTGGAGGAGGTCAAGGACACAAGCCATAACTGAGAGATAAGGCTGAATAAAGTTCATTGCCAATGTTGTACATGTGTGGTGCTCAGGAGAGTGATGGGAAAATGAGGAAACAGGAGGTGAGGATGTTAAAAAATCCTACTACAAACAAGCCTAAAATAAATGCAGTCAGAAAGAAGGGTAGATAGGGATGGAAATGGTTCCAGTGATTTGCAAGTGGGAAATGATGGGCTCTGCAGCCAGGACAGCAACACAGTCAAGGGTTATTCACAAATCAGTGCCTACACTGTGAGAAAGCCAAAATTCTGAACACAAGTCAGATTTGTAAATTTTTTCTTTTTTTTTCATCTGCGAAAGTTCTGTTTAGGTATTTTTATTTCCTTTTCTGAGCATATTGATAAAGCACATTGTTTAAGGAAGCTTTCAAATTATTAACATATTTGGACTTGTCTTTGAGCCAAATGAATAGTATTTGGTAAGCTGTCTGTGGATATTACGCTAAGTGCTTTTCTACTGTGATTCTAATAGAGTGTAGGGCTGAATTTGATAGTGTTATCTATTAGTGATTAGAAAGTGAAGGGCTTTCAGTGCATCTGTAAAGCAGAATTGGCTTTGATTGATAGATCAGGCATTATGGATTTCATCATTTTTAAATTTGGCCTTAAAGTAATGAGATTTCCTCTTAAAATTCCTCTTTCCCCCAACATTTTGAAAACATTTTGAAGGCATGAATTGGGGAGGAAAAGAAAGAGGAGAGAAACCAGTTTTGTTCATAAACACTTAAATATTAAATTGTGCATGAGTGAGTGGTACAGACTGAACTCTGCCAGAGAAAGGTACTTTTAAATTACCAAAATATTAACATTGTAATTATTGAGCATGGATAATAGTTATGAATTATGGATCAGTCAGGTTAGCAAAATCACAGTTAATAGAGAAAGGTATGATGGGAAGGTGAGAGAAGATAATTGAGGATTCCCTCTTAATATCTTCACATGCTTCTCTCGGCAAAGGAGGTTGGTGCTCCTTCTCCTGGTCCACCAAGCCTGGAGCATCCCTGCCTGAGCAGCACCTGCTCTTTGGGAGGACAGTCTCTGTGCCACCAGGGCTTTTTTGTGTGCCAGCCCAGCTGGACAGCCCTAGGTGCTGAGCTTTGTTTGACACTGTCACCAGTTGTCACCATTGAGAAGTCCTGGCGTGCTCTGAGGCACGGCATCTGCATTGTGGATTGCTGCTGCTTTTAAACCTGGTCCTCCCTGCGGAGGCTGTGGAGGGTGGCAGTGGTGCTGGAGTGGTTCAGGACCACGGCTCTAACTTTGTTGATGACCCACTATCTCATCTTGAGAAAATAACTTCCCGTCACCTCCTCTCAGTTCCCCTGTCTGTAAAATGAAGATAACGTCGTGTCATACCTCTGCAAAGCGTTTTGACATCTATGAAGGAAAAGTGCAACCTCGACACACACAGAGAATATCCTACTGCCAAGTGACTCCAACAGGAGCTCTGGGCAGTGCTTGCTCTTAGGATATATGTTTTGTTTTGTTTTTTTCCCTCTGTGATTGGTGATCCCTCGGGTTTGCTGTGGCAAGAGGTCCTGCCCTGTCCCTCTTCATTTTATAAGAACAAGTTGCTGGTGTTGTTAACGTACAGCTGCTCTCCAATCAGTTATTCAGTTTGTATCTGGCCAGCTTCTTGCCTTTCTTTCAGCCACATCTCTTTTCTCCAAACAAAACCAGTTTTACTTTTACTTTGTTTTTTTTAGAGGAGGGCTGTAATGCGGTTGAATTGTTTGCGATAAACTTTTGAGATTCAGTGACCTTTGTTAATCAGGAAGGGTGGTGAGGTTTTTTTTTGAGATCTACAGGAAGAATTAATGTTTTTTTTTTTTTTGAGATCTACAGGAAGAATTAATCATATGTAAACTGTTTGCTTTAAAAAGTCTCTTACTGAATTTGGGATTTCCCAGGCAGCCATCGAAAGGTCAGAGGCTGGAGGCAGAAGCTGTAAGCAGCTGGGAAGAGGGGACCTGGAGAGCTCTGCAGGAGGACAAACTGTCTCAGAGCAGTTTTCAGAAGCAGGGGGAGACCTGTGGTACCACATGGCATTGGGGAGAGCCTGATGTGTTTGAGTGGCTGGCCTCAAGCCAGAAATAAGGAGTATCTAAGGAAAATATACAGACTAGCAGAATGCTGTTGTACCATGCTCATACTTCTTTGCAATGTTCTTCTGTTTTAAAGGCAGTCAATGTCATCGGTATCCTAAAGGCTGTAATGTCTTGATGTGTAGGGTCCTTAGTAAGGAAGGTCTTTCTCTGTATTTTACAGAACACTGCATGTTGAAGCGAAACCCCTTAATGTTGTTTTAATGCATTTTGCTGTATTCAGGAGTGGTTTTCACTTGTGAGCCCTTGGCATGCTGTTTGTCAATGAAGATAATGTTGGGAGATGTCTCGCAAATTAGTTGCAGTGCAGTGAAGTCTTTGATTCCCTACTGTGCAGCTCTGTTGTTCACCCCACTTAGCTTCTTCAGATGATGCAGTGGAGTCCGTGCTCAAACTCGGTTTCAAATTTTTATCATGTCTTGGAGAATAATTGCATTACGTGTTACAGGGAGGCACATTTGGAGGGTTTCATTCGCAGAAGTACATTGCATGACAGTCAGAAGAGTTTGCCTGACTTCTTTGCCCGTAGAGGGGGAGGACATCTTGAGCACCTTTAACCCTTCCTTCCCTTGGCACCTCACCAGCCAGCCATTTGCAGCGTGTGCTCTTCACTAGGGGTTTATTTAGGGCCTAATTTCTGCCTGTGTTCAGAGGACTTTGCTCCAACGTGGTTCAGAGCCCAGGGGCTT